TTCCAGTCCTGCTGATATACAGTAGTTATGTGATAACTATATTCCCAACGAGTAGTATCTTACTTCACCTCTTTTATGTCGTTTTCAGTGAAACCTTTTGTAAAAGCTCCTGTTCCATGTGAAATAGGGATCATGGTTTGGCCCTTAAACAGCTGATTAATATTAGTGTGTAGTACTCTTAAGGGCACCAAGAATTCCTGCAGCATTTTGGCCTAAGAGTTAAATAGGAATTTGGAGTTCTTCTGCAAGAGTACCGCAGAATTTTATCTGTGGTTTGAACTCTAAATTTACAGAGGGGCTTATCTCTCACTCATTCTTGTTTTTTGTTTGTTGTTTGGTTGGTTTTGTTTTGCTTTTAGGGCCTTTAAAAACCCCAATTGCTGCAGGGCACCCATCAATGAATCTACTTCTGCGTAAAACCTTTGACCTTTATGCGAATGTCCGCCCCTGTGTCTCAATTGAAGGATACAAAACCCCATACACAGATGTAAACATTGTCACAATTCGAGAGAACACAGAAGGCGAATACAGTGGAATTGAGCATGTGGTATGTTACTAGAAATGTTGTGTTTCTGGCAGGGTTTCTATGTTCCATTAATGATAACTTTGCCTATTTAAGTTGCCTAGTACTAAGAAGGTTTTTTGGTTAAGTTCTCTAGCAATAAAGAAGTTGCTCTCTTGTGAAATGCCTTGTGGAGACTACCCAACTCAGAATTCTTGATATTTTGTTGTCCCAAACATTCATTCCATTGATTTTAAAATTAACTTTGCACTTTTACTAGCAATGCAACTACTGTCTTTCAGATTGTTGATGGTGTTGTGCAAAGTATCAAGCTAATCACAGAAGAAGCAAGCAAGCGTATTGCAGAATTTGCTTTTGAGTACGCCAGAAATAATCAGAGAAGTCACGTTACTGCTGTGCACAAGGCAAATATTATGTATGTCGACGCTTGTTTTTGAGAAAACAATGAACAGTAATATATTTTTAATGATAAATAACTTCATTAATCTTCCTCAGATGTATAACTTCTGTTCATGCTAGTGGGAGACCTTATAAGTAAAGTGGGGAATACTGACCCAGTATCGATAGGCCTATAATAATTGTATACTAATGTTTTTAGTATTCCCCTGACTTCCTCCCTAAGCCCTTATTTTAAAAATAATCTTAAACTAGGAAATGAATTAAAAAGTGAGCGTGAAATTGGCTGGTATCTTCCAAAGCACTTTGTAGTGAACAGAATCACATCCTGTGGTATTACATGACACCACCTTTACAAACTCAGTAAGCCTTTAGTAAATGAATATAAGTTATTTTGAGAGTTACTGTATGCCTATGTTAAAACAATTGATCCAAAAACGTTTTTCGTTTTACATTTTAGGTGGGAATTTAAAAGGGGGGGTAGTGTGTCAAGTAGTCTTCTGCAATCTTAAAATAGGCCTTCA